CATTTATGGTTTGATTTCTTTGTATGTATGGATCACTTGGGTTGTTACCAACATCTGGTGAAAATTTCATGTCATTAGCACCTCTAGTGATATATTTACTGAGAAAAATGGTGACGTGTTCAATACTTATTTTACCCGCTGTATATTTGTAACGTTTCTTAGCTTCTGTTGCGTTCAATAGAACTTATTAAAACAAATAAAACTACATCATTTCATCACTGTGAATTTCATTAAGACATTTCTTAAAGTTTAAAAATAACATTGGTAACAAAACTAAATGATTTTGTTAGAACGTGGTCTTTAACACGCTTAAACATGGAGAACAGTTCAGTCAGATGTTTGAACAAATCTTTACAAACTGAAGTCTCTGTTGTCTTTATGTTCTGCTGACAGTCAGCTCTAACATTAGTGATTCTTTAGTTTCTTTGGTTTTGATCCTGACAACTTATCAAAAGCTAACGTTAGCGCTGAACGTCAACCAAATGGATCAACTGATTGTGTCCTGATGTGACTTGTGTTGTGTGTTGTTGTGTTGTGGTTTGAGGCTGACTGTCTCTTGGCCTGGTTGTTTCTCTGGATGTGAAGTGCGGCTCTGAATGCTGCCTAACGACTGTGTTTACTGTTTACTGGCTTTCAGGAAGTGCCAGAGCCTCCACCAGGGACCAGCTGTGGGGAGGGAGGGGGTCCGCTCATAAAGCCTGTGTGCAGTCTGTGTGTCGTTGCCTCAGCAGCAGACTTTACATCAGCTCCAGTCTTTGTTCCAGGACTTCCTTGGTCCTCTTGTTTCAGTGCGGTGGTTGAAGTTAAGACTCACGGCTGCAGAGTTTCAGTTGGTGACTCTCATGTAAAACTGCCTGCATCATAACTGAGCTGAGGTTGGTTAGCTTGTGTAAAGCTCAGAGTATTGAGATCAATAAAAAGAACATTTTAATAAAATAAAAAGTACAGATATCTGTGTTCCTTTCTTCTCTCTGTAAATATGAAAGTATCTGAGTTTTTTCTTCTTTAAGTTTGCAGTTTGAATAAAACAGGTGTATTTTTTTCTTCACAGGTAAAGTTTTCACCCCGAAGCAGCAGCCAATAGAAACGCGTCAGGAGGAGGTCACAAAGCTGGACCCGGAGCTGGAGGAGGCTCTCTGCAGCGCCACAGACACAGAGCTGTGYGACCTCGCAGGTAAGAACCGTCCAGAACCCTGTGGAGTTAAAGAGTTAAACTCAGGGAGAGTGGAGCTGCGGTGTTAAAACAGAGCAGCAGCACACCTGGAGGAACATCTGGAGGGCTTCTCAGATGAAATCATCTGCCTGTGAGCCAGAGCCTCACTCTGCTGCTGGTGGAGTCTGCAGGAAGTCCTCCTGTCAGAGGACCTGACTCAACTAAACCAGCAAATATTATCAATCTTATTTTATATTCATTATTATAAAACATAAAGTGTCCAAACACCTGCTCCTGCTGGACTTTTAGTTTACTCCTCCATGTCACTGTCAGCTTCCTGTTCCAGGAATCGTTCGTTRTACCGCCCCCTAAGGGTTGGCAGGTGAAAATCCATATGTGTTTAAATAAATACACTCAGGTTCTCAGTACAGCTGAAGCACATGCTGCAGAATTATTCAGACATGTTGCTGGGTGGCAGTGACTTCACAGTGAGAAATGATGCTCTAAATGCTCTGGTGCAGATGAGGTATCATGAAACAATCCACATTTMGGCTGTGATCCATGTTGTGTTAATAAAAAGASTCATCATATAATGTGGAGGATTGAAGCAGCTGTGTSGAGGTGATCAACATRAACTACCTGCTGCAGAGCTGGTTTTATACGAGGAGACAGACGAAGCTTTCAGAGCTTCATGGTTTAGTTTCAGGTTGGGTCAAACATTTAGGATGAAAGAAGCTTTAAATGTCCTCTTGTTCCTGCTGGGTGAGGAGAGACTTCTGCTGTTTTCATTAGCCTATCATAACAATGCTAACGCTAACGAGCTAACCCCTGTTATTTCTATGTACTTGGATCTACTTATAATTTATTTAGCTTCTGTAAAACCAAATTATACAATCATCACCTGGTAGAAAGGTGAGGATTGTTTGTTTCCACCTCCTGGTTTTACATTGTTGATCCACTCTTGTCGTCTTTTTTTTCTGACTCAT